AGTGACCCACGCCAGTCAAGGGGGGAAATAAGGTAAGTCCGTATAAACTTTGTAAAAATGCTCTTGTTCCTCTTGCATGTGACCTCTCTGAGTAGAGGATTAGAGAAAAGCAAAGCATTTGAAGTGACTGACAATCACTCCTGTTATATAGCAGATCCCCCTTATCCATGGGAAATATATTCTAAGACTCCCAGTGGACACCTGAAATCATGGATAGTACTGAATTCTAAATCCTATACACACCCTGCATTTACTACGCATACATACCTATGGTAAAGTTTAATATATAAATTAGGCACAGTAAGAGATGAACAACAACAATAATAAAATAGAAGAGTTATAACAGTATCTATAGGGATTGGGTGGAAAAATAAAAAAATACATGTACATCAGTACTCTTGTGCTCTGGTGCAATTATTAAGTAATATCAAGGTTATGTGAATGCAATAGCCCTGCGACAATAGCTCTGATAACCAAGAAGGCTACTAAATGAACAGCATGGACAGCATGGATATACTGAACAAAGGCAGAATTCACATCCTCGCAGACAGGGCAGGATGGTGTGAGATTTCATCTTGCTATTCAGAATGGTGCACAATTTAAAATTTATGAATTGTTTCTTTCCAGAATTTTCCATTTAACATATATATTTTTTTTACCATGGTTGGCAGTTTCATGGTACCTGAAACTGCTGAAACAAAACAGCAGATAAGGAGAGACTACTATATTTTGCTTTATGCAGATTTCAGGTATATTTCAATATATTACCTTTTTCCCATAACATAGCTCTCTGCCCTCCACCACCACCTTTTTCCTCTCAGTCTTTTTCATCTTAGCCCTTTAGTATGCTCTTCTTGGAGCTCAGCAGTGCAGAGGCTGTACCATGTGTTTCCCAAAGTAAATGGTTTCTTCTTTCTGCTCCAGTTCCCTCCAGCTGCAATAGCAGGGAGTTGGGACAGAAACAAATCAAATAGATTTTAAAATTCCGGGAGGACTATTAAATGGCCATAAAGCCCATCCAGAAACCCTGCTGGTCAAACAGATTTATTAAATTCGTCAAATCATATACCAAATTTACTACAGCAATGGAGGTCACCTTGACAGGGTTTGGGTAGCATTTCAACAGGGGAAAGTTAGGCAGGAGTATACATAGGGTTCTGGGATACAAACTCCACCAGTTTAAGTGGGTGTTTCTCCCCCGAATGGGTAAGGATTAGGCAAAGTTTGTGACTTAGTAGTTTAAAACTGATGGACACAAGAAGCCAGCCTTGAGCAATCTGTACAGATAAACATACTGTTTGTCCTAAAAATCAAAATGTCTGTCCTGATAGCTGTTTATTTAGATAAACTGATTTGAAAAATTTCCTAGAGCAGAAAGTTATGTTGACATAAGTGGTGTTGATTCTCAGGCCCAACAGTTGGCACAGGCAGTCTCATTTCTCAAGACAAAATGAAAAGAAGTCAGCTAAAACTTAAAATCTTTAAAAGCTGTAAAACAATTAGGGAGACGGGCGGATATCCCATACAATATTAGTTGCTCTACATTTTATACTTAAAAGAAACAACCTATTACTATTTGGTCAATTCATCATATGGCGACTTGATCTAACAAATAAAAGAGTTTTGGCAACATGGGCTGGTTCTAATGTTAAGTGTTACATAAAATTTTGTCCTTGACTTTCTTTTTTTCTCTCTATAGCCCCTCTCTTAAACTTAACCATGGCTTCCTATCATCTACAAAGTTTTATCCCCAATCTTAGTTACAATCCTTGACCTCTCTTCATTTTATTTATTTATTTAGAGACAGTCTCACTCTGTTGCCCAGGCTGGAGTGCAGTAGCACCATCTTGGCTCACTGCAGCCTCTGCCTCCCGGTTTCAAGCAAGTCTCCTGCCTCAGCCTCCCAAGTAACTGGGAATACAGGTGTGCACTGCCATGCCTGGTTAATTTTTTTTTTGCATTTTTGGTAGAGACAGGGTTTCACCATGTTGGCCAGGCTGGTCTCGAACTCCTGAGCTCAAGTGATTTGCCTGCCTTGGCCTCCCAAAGTGCTGGGATTACAGGCATGAGCCACTGCGCCCAGCCTAATCCTTGATCTCTCTTTCAGATTCCAAATTATATTCTAACTGCCTGCTTGATATTTCTACTGGATATTCTGATTCATTTTCCCCATAAGACACTTCTTTCTCCGTAATAGTCTAATCACCATTCTACCTGTCAATGAAGCTAAAAACTAACAGAGTAATTTCTTTTTTTTTTTTTTTTGAGACAGAGTTTGGCTCTTGTTGCCCAAACTGGAGTGCAATGGCGCAATCTCGGCTCACCACAACCTCTGCCTCCGGCGTTCAAGTGATTCTCCCGCCTCAGCCTCCCGAGGAGCTGGGATTACAGGCATGCGCCACCACGCCCAGCTAATTTTGTATTTTTAGTAGAGACAGGGTTTCTCCATGTTGGTTGGGCTGGTCTCGAACTCACGACCTCAGGTGATCCACCTGCCTAGGCCTCCCAAAGTGCTGGGATTACAGGCGTGAGCCACGGCGCCCAGCTAAGAGTTGAATAGTCCCTCTATTCAAAACTATTCATGTCTCAGATCCAAAGGATTCTCTAAGGCAGTGTTAAAGTGCTGGTCAGTGAGGAGACAAGGAGTTTATGTAAGAACATAAACCAAACCCTGGCTCCTTCATGGAGAAAGCCTCATCAGCTGGACTAAATAGTGTGCTTAGTGACACAGTTAATTACTAGTCTGGCTCAAGTTTCTTTGTTACAAACCAGAAATAGCTTGCTGATCAACTGCCAGTCTCAGATTGTACCTTGTCCCAGAAGGGTACAAAATTAGGTTCTAAGGGCAAATATGGACCTTTACACAGGGACCACACTCTAACATGACAATGAAGATCACGTGCTCATCCCTTTGTCTTACCTCCAAGTTCCGAAGAATTTTTCTTAACATTGTTAGTCTGTTTCCTCTTTTTTCACTAAGCACTGTGTTTTAAAGTACCATCCATGTGAATCTACCCTTTGCTTTTCTTTCATTTTTTAAATTTAATTTTTATTTATTTATTTTGAGACCAGGTTATGAGATTGGCTTTTTACTTTTGGTAGAGACACGGTTTTGCCATTTTACCTAGGCTGGTCTCGATCTCCTGGTCTCAAGCAATCCACCCTCCTCAGCCTCCCAAAGTGTTGGGATTACAGGTGTGAGCCACCATGCCTGGCCTACCCTCCGCTTTTCTAACAGCTGCATAATATTCCGTGGTACCTCTCCCATTCCACCTCCATGCCACCAGAAACAATTCTGCAAAGAACATCTTCACGTCTCCTGGTTTGGGCTCTCCACTTCTTAAGATTTTGTAAGTCTCCTAAGTGTCTCCCTGTTTCCAACTTCTGCCTAATTCAAATCTCTGCTCACAGCACAGTTCTAAAACCTTTGATAGCTCCCCATGACTAAAACAGGAAATGCTTTTATTTCATCCTGGTCCCTAAGATTCTATTCCCAATGACTTGGCTTTATGTCTCACTGCTATGCTATTTATATTGTATCTTCCATTCACATTGGAGCGCTACTTTCTGGTCTTCTCTCATATTTCTTCCTTTCCTGCCTGTCAAACCTTTACTCTTTATTTCACTCTCTTGGATGCACTTCCTCCTATTTGTTTTGCAACTGTCAGATCTTAAAAATAATAACCCCCTTTACAAAGCTTCCTTCTATTCTTTTCCTTATTAGAAATATCAAGTTTGTTACTCTCCCGCTTGTGATATTATTCTACATATATGATAGTTACTTATTTTATTTTTTTGAGACAGTCTTGCTCTGTCGCCCAGGCTGGAGTGCAATGGCGCGATCTCAGCTCACTGCAACCTCTGCCTCCCGGGTTCAGGGGATTCTCCTGCCTCAGCCTCCGGAATAGCTGGGACTACCGGGGCCACCACTACTCCTGGGTAATTTTTGTATTTTTAGTAGACGCCGCGGTTTTGCCATGTTGGCTAGGCTGGTCTCCAACTCTCCTGATCTCAAGTGCCTCAGCCTCCCAAAGTGCTGGGATTACAGGCGTGAACCACCATGCCCAGATAGTTTTTTTATCTTCAGTAGAGGCGGGGTTTTGCCACATTGCCCAAGCTGGTCTCGAACTCCTGAGCTCGAGCAATTATCCTACCTCGGCCTCCTGAGTTTAATGTAAAATCTCAGATGCCATTGTTTTAGAAAGCCTTCAGTAGATTAAGGAGCTTGTTTTCCTTATCCTTAAGATGTCTATTTTTTACATGGCAATATTAACAAGACTGAAAGCTCCTGGAGAGCCGCAATTGCCCTTGTAATTTCAGTACAATTTCTGGCAGGAAATAATAATAACATTTAATGGTGTTTATTATTTGCTGGGCATCCTTATAAGGGTTTTACATGTGTTAAATTTATCCCTCAGAACAACTCCATGAGAAGGGTGCTATTATCACAAAAATTTTATAGATAAAGAACTTAGGCACAGGCAGAGGTTACGTTACCCGTCCATGGTCACGTGGCTGGTGAATGGCAGAGCCGGGGGCTGAACCCAGCAATCTCAGCCAGGGATCTGGGCTCTTAATCACTGTGCTACGTTTATCCCAGGGTGTGTCAATGTTTATTCCAGTTACAGGGGTGGAATTCTGCTAGAAGCTTTTGAGAACCTCATCTAGTGTTGTGTTTTTTTCTACCAAGGTTTTTAGCTGCTAAGAGAGAGGCCACTGCCAGGAAGAGCCGGGGCGCCGAGCTGTCAAGGCTGACTGAGGAATGGACACTGAACGCGCAGCGGAGTCTCGGAGGGGCAAACCCGCCAAGAGACCCACTTTGCACAACTGTCCTCAGCCAGGAAACGATAGATCAGGAACCCAGGGACAGAAACACACGCGGGGCCTCTTCAGAGGTCGGGGGGGTGGGAAAGGGGCGGGGAGGAAGAGCAGCGCAGGGCCTGGCCGTTTGGAGGAGGTGCTGGGGCGGCGCGAAGGGAGGCGGAACAGGGTAGACTCACAGATCCAGGAGCTGACTGACCCGCCGTGGGCGAGGCATCGCTGCAGCGTCTGAAGCCTCTTCCGCTGTCCCAGGGCCTCCAGAACGCAGCCAGGGACCGTCCGCCAACTCCCGCCCACCGCGCGACGCGTAGGTTTTTGTGACGTCACACGGATTTTTCCGGTGACCGGGGCGTGGCCACGTTTCGGACTCCACAAGGAAAGAAGAGATCCCCCCTTGGGGCGGAGCCACTGAGGGCTGCGCGGAGGAGGCTGGGTGTGATAAAATATAAAGAGGCCCTAAATTCAGGTGCAATCTGACGGGAGTTGTAGTTCTTTCACCTGTCCGGCGTCTGCTCCGGTGCAGCTGCAGGAGGTTTCTCGGGAGTTCAGCCCAGCGCTCAGCCCCGCTGCGACGCCGCGAGCCGAGAACTCTCCTGTGGCGAAGGGAGAGCTGAGAAGTCGCTGCTCTTACTAAAAGGATACGTTGCATGCTGGGCCATAGCCTTGGCGATGCACACTGGAGACCCGCTCGGATACGGACTCCATTAACATCAAACGGAGCGTTTTAGAGGATCGGAGTTTACTGAGCACTTTCTAGGAAGCGTGCACTGAGCTACGTGCTTTCTATGCCTTAGTTCAATACTTAACTGTATTCATTATAATCCGGTGAAATCGTCATTAGTCTTATTTTACAGATGAGGACACTGCGTACCAACAAGTAACCGCACTAAGAATTTCGTCATGGAGGAGAAGGGAACCTGTATTCACATTAGGAAGGTTCCTGAAGAAAGGGCACCTGTAGGTGGAATTTTCTCTTTGGTTCTGCTGCAGAGTATTTGCTGCTTTTTAGTGCTTCCCGCACCCGCCCCGCCATTCTTCCTTGTAGATTAATCTGTTGTTTATATGTCGGGTTCCTTTTTTAAGCTCCTTGAAAGTTGGAACCCACTGCTGTTCGCCTGTTCAGGATGCTGCACATTCTATCAACGTGCATTTATTAAGCGCTGAACGAGGGCCAGGGATCGTGCTGGGTGCTAAGGATTGAGTGGTGAACACTTGGGTCAGACAAGTAAAAGGGTAATTAGAATAACTCTTAAATGCTTAGATGGGGTTAGTTCTATGGAAGCACCCATGGTTGGGGGGGTGGGATACAGATCAGAGAGAAAAGGGTGGTCTGCAAATAGTTTGGGATGGCTACACTGGAGAGTGATCAAGAGTGAGTGTAGGGCAGGGGTTGGCCGACTTTTTCCATAAAGTGCTCTGAAAGTTGCAGATTCCAGGAGAAGTAACTACTGTCAGACCCAGACAAATTGGAGTCCAGAGACCATAAAGGAAGGGAACTCATGTTCATATGTCTCAGATAAGAACTGTCTCAAGGCCGGACGCGGTGGCTCACACCTGTAATCCCAGTACTTTCGGAGGCCGAGGTGAGCAGATCACGAGGTCGGGAGTTTTGAGACCAGCCTGGCCAATGTGGTGAAACCCCCGCCTCTACTAAAAATACAGAAAAACAAAAAAGCCGGATGTGGTGGCAGGTGCCTGTAATCCCAGCTACTGAGGAGGCTGAGGCAGGAGAATCGCTTGAACCCGGGGGGCGGAGGTTGTAGTGAACCGAGATTGCGCCACTGCACTCCAGCCTGGGCGACAGCAAGACTCCGTCTCAAAAAAAAAAAGAGGAAGAACTGCAAGGACTTTAAAAAATAAACGAAAAAACCCACAATTTCTTCACATCTTTCATGCATTTAGTGTTTTGCACAACTTGCTCGTTTTGCAAATATGCACACATTTTCTATGACAAGATTTATTGCTAAACATTTTTTAAAACTGCAGCAGTTCAGATAAGATACTGTCGAAAGGATGTTTGGCCCAGCAGCAGCACCTCCAACAATGAACGAACTACACTTCTTGATTTGAGTCTCAGGAACCAATCAACTTTGTTTCCAAGACGTTTATGTGAACTTCTCTACTTTACCAGTAAAATCTTCCCCCTGCTCTTCCCTTCTCCAGACCTGTGGCTTGCCATAGTTGTACATCTTGGATTATAATTGTTTTTGCTCATTCCCAGAGAAACTCAGTATCTTTGGAGAAATCTTTCTCTGTTGTCTTTTAGCTTCCCAGAGCCAAACAAGAACTATTTAGGTTTTGTGGGCCATGCTGGCTTGGTCACAGCTATTCAACTTGTAGCTTAAAATTAGCTATAGACAGTATGAATGGGTGGGGCTGTGTTCCAATAAAACCTTATCCTAAACACTGAAGTTTGAATTTTATGTAATTTTCAACTGTCATGAAATACTCATGTTTTGATCTTTTTCAGCCATTAAAAAATGTAAAAGCCATCCTTAAGTTGCAAGCTGTTCAGAAACAGGCATTGGACTGGATTTGACCCTTGAGCCATTTGCCCGTGTGTCCTCACCTGATCTAGAAAGCTAAAATGCACATGTCTCACGCCTGTAATCCCAGCACTCTGGGAGGCCGAGGTGGGCGGATTACCTGAGGTTAGGAGTTCGAGACCAGCCTGGGCAACATGGCGGAACTCCGTCTCTACTAAAAGTACAAA